AATATGACTTTTGGTACTATATCGTATTTAAAATTAAAAAAAAACATATAAATAATAAAAAAATTGTGAAGATTTTTAATTTTGTTTAAATTTTAAAGAAAGTAAAATTACCCTTTTTCTACAAATATGTTTGTGATGGCTTCTTTTCTCGTACTTAGAGTAAGAAATTTATATATTTCTTTTAAAAACTAATTATTACGCTTGTATCAAAATAAGATTTTTTTTTTTTTTTTACCCATTTGTTTATTATGATCAACAAATATATATATGATGTTTGAAAATAACATTATGGAAAAACTCTTCAAGTGGCCTATGATATCATAGAGCCTGCTTGGGAATGATTTTTCAAATATATATATTTTTGTGACTCATAACTCTTTCATAGTTTTTAACCATACATTAAAAACATACATATGTTTCACTTTGAAAAATTCCTCCCAAATGAATTTATTATTTTTGAAGCTTTGCAAGCACGAAAAAGGAATCATATCTTAAATATCATTAAGCACTTGTGTAGTGGAGTTTAAAATCAAACTTGTAGTAAATTTTGATAAAAGTTGAAGAATTGTGTAGTTGAAATTAATTATTGACTTTGATTTAAATTATACCAAACAAAAGAAGTAAAAATCTTCCTTGTTGCTCAATTCATGCAATTTGTACCAAACATACCCTTAATGCGTTTTTGATTTAAGGAATTAAATAGGATTGAACATTTAATGCCATTTTTATCTTTTTTTTTTTTTTCTTTTAATAGTATTACGTAACATTATTCCTTGTACAATTTTATGAATTATTATGCATATAAAAATCTATAACAGAAATTGAACAAGAACTAAGAAATTTGGTGATAAGGTTGAAGGAAACTATGGAATGGGTAAAGTTGTACTAGTTCGAGCCAGGTCTATTCCTGGGGTCAATGTACTTCAACTAATTAATTGTACATACGTTTATTGATTAAATTTGTGTGAACACTGGTCAATTCTACAAATAAAAGTCACTCCACTCCACAAATACTGATCAAATAATTGTACTATTGTAGGTTCCCACATTGAATATTATGCATATATACTCGTGGCATCTGATTTTTATTTTCCCAAAAAATAGAGTTTCCGGTACAAATTGGTAAGTTCAATGAATCATGAAATAGACAAATGATGGCGAGTTGGATTTCTCTTTCTTCTATCCCACCAACAATGTTGGTCCACATGCCGAAATTACCCCAAAATGTGAACATGGCCATTTCCAGTTATGTACAGTTAAAGGAAAATTTGATTCATGGGAAAATAGATATTTCACTCTTCAAAGTTGTTGACAAAAGTGAAAATGGCAATTTAGGTCATTTGGGAGTGTCAGGATTGTCGAATCCAAAAAATGTGCCAACAGAATCCCGACCTTATCCCCTTCATGTGGATATCACCTACACATTGAACATCCCGTTAGGAGGTAAATGCCGCCGATCGAGAAAATATCTGATGACTATTTGCACTCCGACGGCCAAATCAATGACTGAACAAGAAAAAATGAGTCCAAGAGAAGGGAGATGGGGTTTGGTTAGATTTAGAGAACGTAGTTTAAAATGAAATGAATTCACATATATATATAGAAAAATGAATGGGTAAAAGTGTGCTAGGGGACCGAGTCCAGCCTAATGAGAGGGCCCAATATGAGATAATTTTATATGTATAATAATAATCCCCCAAATCTGAGTTGTACATTCATATGCGGATCAGACTTGAAAATATAAGCAGTCAAATAGGTGAGGTCTTACAGATTGCCTAAAAAATATGAGTAGCTCCAACAAACAAGAACTTACAAACTGTCTCAAAAATATGCATCGGTCTCATATGGGCGAGGACTTGCGAATTGGCTCGAGAATATAAACTACTCCAACAAATGGGGATTTACGAACTACCTCAAAAAATATATGTGCGAGCCTGAATAAGGGAGGGCTTATAGATTGTCTCAAAAGATATCAAATATAACTTGTCAAAATTTCGACAACATCTCCTTTGTAATATAGACTAAACCCACCCGTAATGCAACATAATATTTCTACCACACATATATAAAATAAATTTGGAGTCCATTTGTCTCTCCAAATACTCATAACAATGAAGTGAATAATGACATATCACATTTTTCCAAGATATAATATGCAGAAAGTCTATCATGTATTATAGCAGGTCATATGATTGGCGATAGTGTAGATAATGTAACATGTATACTAGCACTAGTAAAATAGTGTCATGACATGATAGCAAGTGATGTAGCATAAGTACTTGAAAGCAAAAATATAATGTATATGCTAGCAGTAATAATGTAATAATACTAAGATGCTAGTATCACAATAGTCCCCCAAGTCAAATATTTATATGCTGGTTGGACTTGAAATATAAGTCATTGTAATGAAGTTGATGTCAAGATGAGACTGAATACATAAGCAGATGTGATAATTTAATACAGAGGTGATGCTCTGAATGTAAGTAGAAAAAACGATAATCTGGATGTGAGTAGCAAAGTCTATGCTGTGAATATATATAGTTGGGATAAGTTGACGTCCTTATATGGGAGTGACCCATCTATATCAAGAGCTTTTTCCATAGTGTTTGGTCCAATCATGGAAGGGATTAAATTCTAAAATAGCAAGGCGTGGCTAATCACGGGAGGCATCACACTTGTCCTTGTTGGAGCTCTTTTTTTTTTTATTTTTTACTTCTTTGCAAGGGGTTTATTCTTCTGTACAAGGGTTTCCTCTATGGTGTTTGATACAGCCATGAAAGGCTTTGTCTTCGCAGGTAATAAGGTGGGCCCACCCTTCTCCTTACAAAATGGTAATTGATACCTTTACATGATCAATAGTTCAACCATGTCAAAGGATTCTTATATGGTGGATGGTCCACCAATGCGGGGAATAATATAAGCTCTTTGAAGATAAGTAAAGGTAACATGGTTGAAGTAGAGGCAAAACTCTGAAAAATAGATAGTTGTAATACAATTGATGCATGATGAGCTTTTTAAAAGATAAATGCAGCTATATTGCAATAATTCATATGGTGAGGTATCTCGCGGAGTAAGGAATAAATATCAAGTTGGTGGCTCGTTTCAAACGATCGAAGACTTATAAGTAGGCTTTAGATAGATGATGTCTTATAGCTGGGCTCGATGATAGTGAAGGGCGAGGGATAATCATCTTGCGAAGCCAAAAATAAGCATCCGACGAGACAAGGAATAAATGTCCCACGGTAGTTCTTGAATTATCGGAGTCTTATAAATGGCCTCAGATAGACGATGTCTTATAACTAAGCTCGATGATAGTGAGAAGTGAGGAATAAACATCTTGCAAAGTCAGGAATAAGCATCCAACTATGCGGAGAACAAACATCCCGTAAATAACTCTCGAACTATCGAAATCTTATAAGCGGGCCTCGGAATGAAAAGGTCTTACAGTTAGGCTCAACGATAGTGAGAGATGAGGAATAAACATCTTGTGAAGTCAGGAATAAGTATCTAGCGAGATCGGGAATAAACGTCTCGCAAATTGCTCTCAAACTATCGAAGTCTTATAATCGCCCTTGGAATGAGGTCTTACAGCTAGGCTTTAGGACAGTGGGAGGCGAGGAATAAAAATCTCGCAAAGCCACGAAAGGTTCCTTTTGCAAGGGTACACATGTCCGAATGGGATCAAAAGATTTTCCTTTTTGAAGGGCAAATGCTTCGAGATTTCACCTCTTCCTTTATTCAAGGAACGAGGACCCCAAGATACCGTCTTTTCCTTTATTCATGGAACGAGGACTTCAAGTTACTGCCTCTTCTTTTATTCAAGGAACGAGAATTTATTAAATGCCGCATTTGATAATAACGAGAAGTCTACGAGCTAGGGCTTGCTTGATCAATTGGGACAATGAACTTTTGAACAAGAAAATGTAATTGGTGATAACTTCCAGTCACTTATTGATTTGATGGTTATCAAATAATTCAGCCAAGTACAAGAGAAATTGAGTTATCTCTCCATAGTTTTTAACATACTGGCAGGTGGCAACTAGATTTGCAACCATGAGATTCAAATTTCACAATATTTATGGCCATGAACGCTGCTATGATGTTATTTTTCTCACATTGCCAAAATATGTTCTTCTTCATTATGGTGGCACTAAATGCTGAGAGACAAATGCTTAACCTCCTAATTCTCCATTCACAATCACGCTTCACTTTTTAATAACAAGTCACCTGCTATGCTCTTTCCAGCTTCAACTATTAATTCTAGATGCAGAACAAATCAGGTTGCTGTCTAGAGGCTACAACGGTTGATGCGAACTTGGGTATTTTAAGTGAGCAACCTGAGCAGAATAACCATAACCACGAGGAAGAAGCAAGATCAATATATTGAAACCTCTAGCAGGCCAAAGAGCTTTAAACATGTAGAAGAATTATAAGGCCGAAGAAAAAATAAAATCTTCCAACTCAAAATTTCATAATATAAAATAGCAGCCCATTATGAAGCTGAACACCAAATAATTTGTACCAATGAAATAATTTAGGCCTAATTATTTGATGTCAATAAGAAAGACCCAAGCAAAATAACAACAGAACATTCCACAAGCTTTTGAAGAAGAGATATATTACCAGGGCCCCAGAAGTTAAATAATAGACCTAATAGGCCCAAATAGAGATCATAATGCTGGCCCAACAAGGAAGGAGAAAATAGACGTGATCCAGCCAAAACAGGAAAAGAAATTGAATTGCACAGAATAGTTAAAAGAAATATAGCTCTCGTTTGGCCCTCATTTTGTGAAAATGAAAATGGGTGGAATAGTTTTTTTTTTTTTTTTTTTAAATAAGGGCATGTTCTCTTTACAGTTTTCAAGCCGTTTTTTATTTTCAATTTTTCAAAACGATGAAAATGCATTCTCTTTCCTATTTTCTAAAATGAGTTTTACAAAAAAAAAAAAAAAAAAAATGTTCTAAAAACGTCTAAAAAGCCGTTTTGCAGCCAAAAAAGAAAAATGGATGAAAACACATGAAAGAGGCCCAAATTAAAAACAACTCTTTCTTTTTACTCTGCTCAGATTGAAGAATTAGAAAAGCTCCATCTGAATCTCCTATCCTCTTCCCCGATTTCCAGCTTCATACAATCTTCAAATCTAGGTATGTCTTTCTTACTTTCCAGGTGGTTTTCCGAGCATGTTTTCTTGTTTTGCCCCTCCTTTTTCCTTCAATTTACAGCTCTGTTACCCTTTCCCAATTTGTTGTTTGATAGGCGCTAATCAGTAAGCAATCTCCCTGTTCTTGTTGTAATCTTTCTCTTTTTTATTATTTCTTCTTTTTCGGTTAGATGCATAAAATTGGAAATTGAATTTTTTTTAGTTGTTTCTCCATTTTTTTAAAGCTGTTGTTTTTAATTACAGACAATAGAAAAAATTTGGAATTGATTATCTTCATGGGTATGTGATGACTTATGTTCATCTAACTTCCATTATATGATTGCATCTATTTATTTGTGATATAAGAAACGTGGGTTTTCTTTGTTTAGATCAAAAAGCTTGAAAATTGGTAAAGAAAAAGATACTTGCAATATTTTGCTATGATGTGAGCTGTGTTTGATTAGGGGCTTTTGAATACGTCATAGACTTATGGAGCTACTTTTATAGTCACTTGTGTGTATATGCCTAACTGATTTTCATGATTTTGGGTTTTTGGAGGAGTATAGGCCGATTTATTATTAGGTCTTTGATTTCGTGTATAAGTCATATGCTTCATTTGATTCAGTGTATAATCACTTACTCCTATAGAAGGTATTGATTAGAACCTGGATATTTATATCTCCTTAAAGAGGTATAGTGAGCAAAAAAATAACCAGGATAGGCAGGGCATTTTTATTCTGTTTAATCAAGAGAACACCCAAGAGGAGTTTCAATCATTAAGAGGAAGTCCAACTCGAGAATGAATTATCCAATCATACTTCTATGGTGATTAACTAATTATAACAAGTTCTGGCAACTTAAAGACAAAAATAGTGCGCTCTTCATGAACTAACCGACCAAAATTCCTTTTGTTAGAAATAAGGTAGATTTCTATAGAAGACCCGAAACCCAAGAATGATCGCAACTTTTTCCAGTATGCGTCAGATAACTTGTAAGATTTAGAATTTCTCTGCCTCAATGTATTACGTCTTTTTCTCTGCTGTGCACCCACTCCATTATGTGTTACAAAACTAAATATAATATGCTTGCTAGGACTAACCTTAATAAAATTTGACTCCAAGACTCCCTCTTGCCACAGATTCAGTTAAACAAAATTGTTAAACTATTGAGAGTCTATACATTCTTACAAGTGAGGAAAACTATCACCGGAAACTCAGATGCTTATTGAGATGTATCTTAATGAATTGTCCAACTTTCAAGATCGATTTGTAGTTATAATCACGTCTAATTTTGTTGAATGATGATTTTTTTTTTCAAGGGATTGATAATTTCGACTCGTTTGTAGTGGAGTTATATCTGCAGTGTATCAAATTTTTTTAGTATAATTATGGAGAATTTTTTTCAGGGGGAGTGAAAGGTATACAAATGCATAGTTGACACAAAAGCTCATTAATTCTGTTTGATAGACTTGTGAATTTCATATAGCTTTTAATACATTTATATGTCGCAAATTTGTATGATACAAGTTTTTCCTCCAACTCAATATTGGTGGTTTATTTGTTAATTTGTTCAGCCAGGGAAGGGATGGAACCATCAAGTATTGGGATGTTGGAGAAGGGGGGGGGGGGGGGGGGTTTGGGC